ATGTATAATAAATATATTATGCATCCGCATGCACCATCAAAATATCCATATTATCCGGTAATTATTTTACAGGGGGGTGTGGTTTAGCCCGCGAAATACGGTAGCTATTTTTTTCAAAAAAATTTTTTTTTAACTTTCACTAACGATTACTTGTACCAACTTTTTACTGAAAGCAAGTAGAAGACTCAAGACCAAAAATCAATAACAACTTGAAGTTTACTTAATACGAACTGTTGTTAATAAAGTTTTTAAACATAATACACCAAGAAGCAGGTATTTTGAACAGTTTGCAAAGAGGTAAAGCCTTTCTTCTCTTTGGTGGACTTTCTTTTGTATTTGGTATCCAAACTGAAGAAGTCTTTGAGAACAGTAAGTAGAAGGTAAACTCAAGTTTGTTGAAGACAGAAGGCTATAAAGAACTCTTGAAAAAATATTCTCTAGTTGGAAACTTGCAAAACTATGACTACTCTCTTGCCATTTTCTTTTTTCATAATTTTTGACAAAAAGTAGAAGATTTGACTTATTCTCTCCAAAAGATTAGCATTGTTTACAATTTCTATTTTCAGAAAGTTACAAGTTTTGATATGACGATTAGAGAACAAAACAAATCATATATGAGGAGAAAGTTTTAATAGATTTCCAGATTAAAGAGAGATAAATAGCGTGTATCTTGTTTGGATCAGACGTAGCTATCAGATAGCCCTCTATTTAGGATATACCGAGGAAGTAGTTTCTGAAGATAGTGATCAAAAGACCAATCCTATTAATCTAGAATATGGAGAAGCACGTTTGAAGTAAAGAACTATAAGTAGCAGAACTGTTTATAGTTAAGGTCAGCTTAAAGTAAAAGAAACTTTAGAATTAATAATCACATGATCGAGGCTTTGAAATCAGACATTCTAGGATTCGAATTAGATTTAATAGAGAGTTGTAAACTAAAGCAATAATGTAGAGATATACTTATTCCAAAATCATATACATATAATTTTTAATCTTTAGCACAGGTTAAAGTGCATCTTAGGGGCTTTCAGAAATCAGCTAATTAGGGTTTACTAATGAATCATTCGAACCTACCCACCCCTCATCTGCTAGCCAATCAGATTTCATGTTTATTAAAACAAATAATTAAAATTATATATAATATTTAATATTAATAGATAGGATTTAGACCTTTGTACTACTAGTAGTACATTTATTAATAGCTTTAAAAAATCTAAAAAATTATTTATTAAAAAACTTTTTATATCAAAAAATCTGATAAATGCTATAGTATTACAAAAATTAATTTATTTTAATATTACAGTCAGACCTCCCTAAGTGCATAGCCCAGAGACTGACCATAAACGTGCATTTAGAGAGGGTGTACACTTAGAGAATTACAGGTTATGTTACACAAATTTATGATCATCCAATCAAAATAATTTTTAATTTAATATTGAAACACATTTATTGGCATGCTAATTAAAATAATTAGAGATTTTGCTGTTTTCACAAATCCTGAGACACTTGAAAAATTTAGCAGAATGATTTTCAGCCGATTCGATTAATTTTGTGATTTCGGTATAAAAATTTTATAAATTGATACTTTATATTTTACTGTACGTGCATAATTTCAGAAATATGATATATAATACGTATAAAAATATATCAATTATGCCGAATCATAAACATAATCAAAAAATATTTTGCATCGTAACTATACTGTACGTATATATTTACAGTAATAAAAAAATTTTTGAATTTTCATTTGACTAATTTTTTTCAGGTATCTCAGATAAAAACAGCTATAACTTATTTCGAAAATAAATGTGAGTTTAAAAAATTTTTTTTACGTTTTGAAATTCTAAAATCAGGAGCATATGCATATAAAATTTATAAACTTTTTAAAACATTTATCTGCTGAATGCACAAATTATTTATGCGACTTGTGTAAAAAATATGGAATAAATTCATGTATTCCATTGCATAATTTCTTTAATACTGTATAGCGTAATAAAATCAAATTTTTTTATATACTTAAAATTGAAAAAAAAATTTTAAAGAATTTTTTTTAAAAAAAACAATCCTTAAACGTTTTTTTTTTTTAAAAAAAAGAAAAAATGTAATTTTAATAAAAAAAACGCCAAATGTTATTTAATTTTCATAAATAACCCGCCGGCCCGCGATATTGTTGCGATACTGCTGAGTTGTTTATAATTACCATCAATTTTTCGCATACATTAAGTTGTAGAAAATAGAGAAGATTTTTCTTTACCTATTTCTCCAATTTATTAAAAAGAATCTACTCAATCCTTATGTCTTAAAATATTCATCTATGCGAGTTTGCTGAGCAGAACTTGACATCATTTTCCTAATAAATTTCTTAAAAAAATTAATTGATTTTAATTGATCACCTGAGCCTTTCTGCTGAAGTAAAAATATCCAAGCTATTCAATGCCAAACTATCACTAACAACTGCGGGTTCCACACTATCATCTTTTTCTTCATCCATTATCTCAGTATTTCCTTCATCCATAACTTCAACACTTTCATCATTTCTGAATATATAAACTAGCTTCTTAATGATTTGATTCTTCAAGAAAACTTCGTAAACAATTTCCTCACCATTAAAATTTAAGAATTCATCAGTTTCCATTGCATTTGGAAGACAGAGAGTATTCAGTGACCTAATAAGATTTTCAAGCCTTGAATTGCTAGCTTCACAAAGATCATCTGAAAGATTTGCACTAGATGGGAGAATTTTTGTATGATGCTAGCAGTTACGTATAGTTTCAGCCAAAACCTTACCCCAACTCTTTATGATATACAAGATCACTTGTAAAACATCCATCTTCAAATCCTGAACGAAATTACCTGCTTCAATTTGCTCCAACATCCATCTAATATTTTTAAAAAAAATTTTTTTTTTAAATTTGGATTCAATAGTTGTAATAAACTACTGTATCAGAATAAATTAAAGAGCGAAATTCAATACAAATATCCAGCCCCATTTCACTGATAGTCTGCTTCATTAACAGCCTTATTATTAAAGACCGTATTATGTAATTGGCTATTATTAAATAGACTATTAGTAAAACGGGGCTACCGGGATTGAGAATTGTGGCGAATAAATAAAATAATAATAAAGCGAAGAATGAGTAAAACAATAAAAAAAATAAATAAAATAAAAATAAAATATACAATACAATAACTTACTGGAGATGAAAACGATGATAGGCTCTTTTAAAAGCCATGATTATTCCTGCATCCATTGGTTGTATCCTAGAAGTTGTATTTTTGGGTAAAAAATGTATATCTACATACCGGAGGGTTAACTCGTCTAATTTATGACTAGAACAATTGTCAAGAAGTAAAAAAACATGCTGGCCCCTATGCTTCTGCAATATTTGGTGGTCAAAATCCTGAAGCCACTCTTGAAAAAGAATCACAAGCATTCAAGCCTTAGCATTGCTCCTATATATCATGGGCAAATTATTAATTTTTACATTTTTGAAACATCGGGGTTTGGTATATTTGCCAATTATAAGAGGTGCCAACTTATAGAATCCATCAGCATTCGTACATAATGCCACAGAAATACGGTCCTTATTTTTTTTGCACCCTGCAATTTGCCGAGTCACTAAGGTTCGATCCGGTTCCAATCTAGAAAGAAATTTTTTTATTAAAAAAAAAAAAAAAAAAAAAAATTTTTATCAAAGAAAAAAAAACTACTGGTAAAAAAGTCTGGTTTCGTCCATATTATATATGCGGTCAAGAGGGTATTCAGAGTATTTACTTTGCAATAAAAGTAAGGATTCAGTAATAACATCCTCATCAACAGAATCTGCTTCTCCATGAAGCTTTATCTGACGGATTCCATTTCGCTCTTTAAATTTTTAGAGCCACCCGGAAGAAAAATATAATTGCCTTCAGGGACTCCTAGTTCATCTGCTAACAATTTTGCCTTTTCGATCATCATAGTATTGCTTAGAATAGTGCGGTGTTGATAGATTAGTATGAATTCCTTGAGTGCTAGCTCAAGCTCTAGTACAGTAACGGTTCTATGTCGCTTGGCATCTAGATTTACGATTTCATTTGAAAGTCGTTGGTCCTTAGTTTATAAGATTCGAGTGACCGTAGACTCATTAATTTTAACTCCCTATTTGTTTTCAATTCACTTCACATATTCTGGGCGGGTTCTCTTATTATCACGAGCATAGACACAGAATTCAAATTTTTGTGTATGTCTGTTAAGGTTGTTCTTTTTGGCATTATTCAAAAAATGTTACATAAAAAAATTAGAGGAGTGCAAAATTATTGCTTAGAAAAGAACACAAAAGCATTAATTATTAAATTTAAAGGAGCCACTAAAGTAGCAGATTCATTATTTTAATTTTTTTTTTTTTTTTTTTTTTATCATTTTTTAAAGAGTTAATTAAAAAAGTTTTAATTAAAGATCTAATTTAAAATGAATTAATTAAATAAAGTTTTTGATAAATACGTTATCAAATTTTTTTTTTTTTTTTTAGAGAAAAAGAATTTACTAAAAAAGTAGTTAAGGTGGCATCCATAATTTATGTTAAACTGGTTTGTTATAAGATTCATATTTTTTATATTGATTTAACGTAAATTATGGAGATGTCATATAATTGTTCGAAATTTTATTGGTCAAGATGATCTATCAGCACATAATAGTGCACTTACAGAAGATAGCCTAATAATAAAAATTAAATGCACGTGCAGAACATAGAGGGTGTGCATTTAACACTATGGTCCCAGCTTGGAACCAGGCTTTAGTATGCATTTATAGAGGGTGTGCACTTATAGAAGTGCACTTAGAGAAGTTTGACTGTATTTTTTTTTTTTTTTTTTTTTTCCCCATCTTTGGCAGTCTTGCCAGTGATCTTTTATTAAGATTATTGCATTACAGGTTGATACAATGTTGAGCTTAATAT